CAATTTCTCAAGCTTGATACAAGAGCCCTTGTACTGTTTTTAACTGAATACAGATTCAGTTAAAGACTTCTCTTATTCTACAGCTAGTGGCTAGAGCATTTCCCATTCAGTTTTGGGTAGATTTAAAGTGAGTTCTTGTATCTGTAAATACTTTTATGATGTTCTGTTTTCTGAGTTTTATGTCATTGGACACTTTTCCTTCTTTTTTTCCCAGGTATTAAACATTTCTTTCTACAGTTGTAGATTTTTCTTAGTTCAGGCAAGATTAAAATACACATATCAGAATAGAACAGTGTGGCTTGTCAGAAAACAATTTTAACCGTAAACTTAAAAATGGACACTAGTAACATTATGAATATTTTAAATAGATTGAATTTTAGTATAAATTTTATATTAAAAATGAACAATACTAGTTCAATACTAGTTGCACCAGAACTTATAAATCACCATGTCTAAATCATTGTAAATCGGGATGTTTTACTTCAGGAAAAGTAAATCTCTATTTTTTGCTGGCCTATCTATGTGTTTATCACATTAGCGTTACATACCTAATGATTTTGCAATGGTTTATCATTAAAACCCCTTTGAAGCACTCACTGGGTACAATAAACTTTCAGGTCTCCTAAAATGCTGTGCCATTTTCAGTAACAGTTACTGTATAAATTGAATTTTACAAATGGTTATATACTATGATAAATCAAATTGAATTTCCTTTCTAGATGTTCTTTAATAAAGGCTAAAATGAATGAAGTTTATTCCTCATAGATAGTATGTACTTATGTTATGGTACATAAATGCTATCTAAAAGGAAACAAGAAAGAAACTTCCAGCTTTTATTCTTTGTGATACTTAAACTTAGATAATCAAAAAGTGCTACATGCAGATTTTACAAAATTTTGCAATCCATATAACTAATTTAGAATGTCATAATTTATGAACACTTTCCCCAAGTGATACCTTTACCTACATTTTAAAAAAATACTCTATACAAAGTAGTTCAATGAGGACTACTCTCACTTGACCGCATTATGCTTATAAAAATTGCATGAAATGCAGTGATAGCATTGTTACTGTACTGCTTTCCTTGCAGGCATTTGCATAAGAAATTTCCAGTACTGGAAAATTTTGATTTAATATTCCTACCTGTGGAAAAGATGGCCTGAGTAGGAAATAAGTGATATTGGTTATTAAAAACTTGTATTCTTGTAGATTTGGGATTAAAATCTTGTGCGTGGTAAAATAATGACTAGTCATTACTGATAATTCGTTAAATATGCAGAATGTGCAAATGACTACAAAGACAGAAAAGGAGGATTTCTGAGTCAGCCTTTATATGACACTAGCTATATACCTATAAATATTTTTGTCACATCTTTCATTTCTAGCAAGTTTTGTTAACCTTTGTTTTTCCACTCAGTTTCTATCTTGTTCATCTTCCATTATTTTTTTTAATATGGCTGATATCAGAGAGATAAATGTTAATATGCAGGAGAATGATTTCTTGTGCAGATGGAAGATGATTTTATAAATGATTGCCCTATTTTAATCCATTAGTTATAACAGTAGTTAAGTACTACCCTCATATCTTTTTAGCATGTGCTGTACCCCAAATGCAAGATAGACTTATTGTGGCAGAGATGATCTCAAGTTAATAAAAGCCAAAATTAAATCCAAGTTTGCCAATATGTGGAGGGTAGGCAGTCAATTTTATATATTTTTTTTCTTTTTGGGAGCAGGGATTACTTTTAAATTCAGTCATCTTTCAGATAAAATGCCCATATTTTCTTAAGTTATTTGTTAATATTCTTATGACTCCAAATCAAAGCAATCAGTTCTAAATGGCCACTAAGCAAAAAAAAGATGCAAGAAGCAATAACTTGAGACACAAATGTGGGACGTTCTGTGGTAGTTAAATTATTATTTTAACTTAACATTTTATCCAATACATTTGCAGAAATTTCAGAACTAGCTGACAGTATCCTATGCTTTGTTTGCAGAGTTGCTATGCATATAGTTAGCATGGGTAAAATACTAGCAACAAAAAAGCTTTCTCTGTGATGCAGTAATATAAGCTAAAATAGTATGAGTTGCAGTTTTTTGCCACCACTAATTGTTCTTTCTCATATTAATAGTTCTTAAATAAAAAGCACAACCTATTTGTGGGAACAAACAACAATTTCCATATTTTACAATACAGTACTTTCCTCTAAATGCACATTGCATTTATTGGTTAGTGATCTTCAGTGTATTTGTGAAGAATGCAATAACTTGTAGTGGCATCTGAAAAGGTGTCAAATCAATTCTTTCAATTAAAATAGTTGCAGTGCTCGTTCACTATGAATTAATGTTTTTGAAGACCAATGAATAAAGAATAAGGCAGAACTGTTGACAGTTCTGTATAGAAGAGATTGTCAGCATTCTTTTGTAAGCTATTCCAGGAATGTCAAGTGATTATGAGGCTAAACCCATCAAAAATGTAAGTAGACAATAAGGGCCTATATATACATGACAGATGGCTAAGGATACTTGAGGTATTTTAATTGCCAATTACTTATCAAATAATACAACTTCCAATTAGGTCCGATTGCTTAATTTCTTTCATGACAAATGTATCTTATGTACACTGAGAGCATATGCACCAAAGACAAATTCCTTGTGTGTCTAATCACACTTGGCCAATAAAAAATTCTATTTTTAGAAGCACCCAAGTATTGCCACCTAATTGGGAACATTTTAATACAACTAATACAACTTTAATAAAAAGTACTTTAGTAATTACAATTGAAATGTTAGGGCTTCTGCCTCATAGGAAGAAGTGAAATATTTAGATTAAATTAATTGACCGGTTGAATAAATCTCGAATACGCTCATTCTGATTTCCAATCCAGAATTATTATAGCTAATTCCGTAAGCAGGTAGTATGCTTTCTCATTCTTTTTGTCGCTGTAAAAGTTCAGATAGTCTTTAGACTTCTCAATTCTTACACTATTAGGATGAGAAAGATCACAAAAAAATACACAAGTGTGCAAAAATCTCCGGATATTGCACAGATGAAACAGGTAGGGAGAACACGTGATTCTGAAGTGGAATCCCGTGATCCTTAAAAGATGGGTGAAAAAGGTGCAACTCTTCAAATTAGATTACCTGGTTTAGTGGTGGGTATGATTGCCGGATGGAGTGCCTTTTTTCATTAAGGCTATTTTTACATAGTGTAGTTGATAAAAAGCTCAATAGAAAACAAGCTGAATTCAACATACTGTAGTCCTTTTTGCTTCCTCAAACCATCTCACTTTTTGCAATCTTAATGCATTTTGTGAATAATTTTATGTACACTGAGAGCATATGCACCAAAGACAAATTCCTTGTGTGTCTAATCATACCTGGCCAATAAAGAATTCTATTTTTAGAAGCACCCACGTATTGCCACCTAATTGGGAACATTTTAATACAATCTATGTTAAAGTGTAGGAAAAGTGAGGTACTTCCAGTTTGGAACTATTCACAAAGTGCACTTCAGAATCACATGTTCTCCCTACCCAACCCATCTGTTTAATATCCGGAGATTTTTGCACATTTGTGTATTTTTTGTGATCTTTCTCATCCTAATAGTGTAAGAATTGAGAAGTCTAAAGACTATCTGAACTTTTACAGCGACAAAAACTACCTGCTCACGGAATTAGCTATAATCATTCTGGATTGGAAATCAGAATGACCGTATTCGGAGATTTATCCAACCGGTCAATTAATTTAATCTAAATATTTCACTTCTTCCTATGAGGCAGAAGCCTTAACATTTCAATTGTAATTATTAAAGTACTTAAGCTATTTAAAGAAAATTTTGTCGAAAGTCACTCTAAGCTAGTTTAGAACTGTCACAACACACTTATATTATTTAAGATTTAATCTTCAATTTCATTCAGCCTGGGACTGGTAAAAACTTAACAGTTCAAGTCCTAACAGAGATGTTAAGGAAACGTCTGAGTATAGAGGCAGTTCCGAATAAGATGGTTTATTTATTTATTTATTAGACTGCTCGGACCGACATCGAAAATACTATGTTAAGTTGACCGATAGTAAATTGAAGCAATTTCCTCTAGTGATACCTTCTTTCATCGCGGTGATGACAGAGAAAGCCTTCCCACCCAAGAAAATAAAAGCTTGAGCACTGGTCGACTAAGTCCCAAGTGACTAGCAAGATGGTCATTCAAAAAACAACAAAAGCACTTCGCGAAGACGGAACTTCCTCTTCACTTTCCATTCTATCAAGCCCTTCTAAACGCAAAGCTGTTCGGTTCAATTCAAATAGTTTACTTCAAACGGTAGCGACATGACCCTCCTCACGGGGAAAGTCCCAAGAGGGTGGGTGGGGGGACTAAAATGGCGCCAGTCCCTTTTTCCCTCACTGACGCATTACAGCCTCGCCCGACGTGATATAAAATGGTTGCTGCGACGGCCCCGAACTCAGCATATTCAAGTACCCTGTAGCGTGAAGGCGGTCCCACGGGCCGATTACCAATAGATGGTGCCATCTAAAGCTAAAACGCCCAATGGCGACTATGGGCGGAGTTTGGATTCGCCAAGTGGCCAATGAGAACCTAAGCAACTGCTGGTGGCAGGGCCTCCCCGCGCGGCTCTGGGCGGTGCTGGGATAGGCGGGCGGGCGCTGAGACGGCCGTTTCCTGTCCTGGTGCATGGTGGTCGGACGAAGGAATTGTTGGAAAATTTCTCAGCGAGGTTCGTATATAAATGTGTTTTTACCCAGTGTGCCTTATTCTAACCGCCGCCATCTCCGACTGGGATGCTTCACTCTCGGGTTTGGTCTGGCCTAATCCCTCTGCGGCGATGTTCCACAGAGGGAAATGTGTGAGAAAACGGGGAGTCGCCCTAGGATCGCGTCTCATATTAATAATAAAGCCGAGGCGTTGCCGCCGCCCGCCCGTCCGTTCCCTCTCCCCCCACCCCTTCCTTCATATTCCCGCCTTCTTGGTTTCCCTGGCTCCAGGTCTTTTCTCCTGCGATGTATTTGGATCGGGGGGTGGGGGGTGGAACAGTCGCCGCGTAAAGTACCCGCTCGGGGTCTTTGGGCTGTAAGGCGAAGCGGAATCGAGCGACATGTTACCCAAATGACTTCCAGGGGCGTGTGCTTGAGGAAGCTTTCTCTTTAGGGGCTGCGTCACTGGACAAGATTCATATTGTATATAGCCCTTTGCAAGCCATGACAGAAAAAGGTCTTGTCTTGAGGCATTTTTGTTCTCCCGACATCGGTCCCGAGCCGAAGGAGTCTCAAAACGTCACCGTCGCCCTTTGCTCCCGGGTGAATTCACCCACGCCGCGCTTTTTTTTTAAAAAAAAGCAGCGGAACCATTTTTGACAAAACCTCGTATATATATGAACGAGCGGCGACCTAAAGCTGCAGGTTCGGAAAGGGAGATTCCAAATCAGTGTGTGCGACAAACTTGTGTGTCGATCTGTAAAGTCTGATAACACTTCACCCGTTATTTAAGGACGTGGACGACAGGTTTTTTTCCTTCCGATTATAATACGCAAATATGATTGATGGAAGAAGCTCTGCGTACATGATTCTCAACAGGCCCATTTCGCACGAGGAGGTGGGTTTTTTTTTTTAGGTATAGGAAAGGAAGTTTTCTTCTTGCGGGTCCTTTTTAAAAAAAAATCAGCTAGATCTGGTTGGTGTGTGTTGGTTGGACTGCGAATCTAATACCGATATCAGAACTGGCTCACTGATTTAATTATTTTCAGAGATTTTAGGATTGTGGACTGTTTGGATTGTCTCCTTGAGATTATTTTTTTAAATGTTAATGCCACAAATTTTTTAGTTTCACAAAAAATACATAAAAGTGGAAAGTAATTTCACTTGTCAAGATAATTTGGACATGCTTTTGAAAACTCAATATCTTACTTTCTTCATTTAATATAGTATTTTTGCCATTTTGCAATAAATCACATTTCCAGTTCTCCCATAAAACATACATAGACTTGGTATCATCTCAGTAAATTTTTATAAAGGATACATGTACTGTATCAGGAAAATATAAGAACATGATTTGCAAATCTTATTTAAGAGCTCTTAAAAATAATAGAGGGTTCTAAACTCAGTTAAATCATATATGTATTCCTACATATGGGCAAGATCATCCGTGGTTTTGGGGTACGGTATCATCAATATGCTGATGATACCCAACTTTTCATCTACCCCAAACCACCCAAACGATGCCCTCGACATGATGTCCTGATGCCTGGAGGCTGTGCGGATCTGGATGGGGAGGAACAGGCTCAAGGTCAATCCCTCAAGACTGGGTGGCTGTGGTTTCCGTCATCCCGATTTGTGCATCTTGTTCTATCTTTGATGATAGGGGGAGAAATTTTAGCCCCCTCAAAGAGGGCTTGCAATCTGGGAGTCCAATCTGGCTATGTGGCTTTACTTTAGAAGAACACCTGATGGCCATGACCAGGGGGGTCTTTTACCAGGTTCGCCTGGTATGTCAGTTGCGTCCCTTCCTGGATCGGGATGCTCTGTGCACAGTCACTCATGCCCTTGTCCTTTCTTGCTTGGACTACTGTAACACTCTCTACATGGGGCTGCCCTTGAAGAGCACCCAGAGGCTTCATCTGGTCCAGAATGCGGCTGTGCGGGTTAGAGAGAGCCGAGGTGGCGCAGTGGGTAGAGTGCAGTACTGCAGGCCACTTCAGCTGACTGCTATCAGC